ACTCATTTAATAGTCTAACCCAATGTTTTTTTTTATCTCGTGGCACACTTGAACCTATAATTAAATTTCCATGACACACTTAAATTATAATAATTTAAAAAGNTTTATATGCATACATCTTATTATACTTATGCTATTATAACAATTATCAAATTTTTATCATGTAATAATTTAAATAACAACTTACATGTATTGTGTACATTATCTCCTGAATCTTGTTTCAAACTAAGCTTATATCTATTTGTATTTCTCTAATTATATCTTCCACCTGTAGTATTAAATTCTGTTTTGAAGGAAGATTTGAGTGGTTATAATTTAAACTCCTTGCCAAATTTCTTTAATATTTTTGTGGAACATTAATTTTTGACTCATTTAATAGTCTAACCCAATGTTTTTTTTTATCTCGTGGCACACTTGAACCTATAATTAAATTTCCATGACACACTTAAATTATAATAATTTAAAAAGAGTAAAAACAAAATAAGATTGTGTCAATAAATAATTTATGGAAAATACAAAGTAATTTATTACAATTTCAAATAAATAAATATTTAATATTCTTAAAAATCTTATTTATTTTTCGGTTTATTATAATTAAACATTTAATGAGATATCTCATCTAAGAAAAGCAATTAACTTTAATTAAGACTTAATTTTCATTTAAAAGTGGCATGATAATTAATTGCCTTTAGAAACCTCCCGTTATTACCAAGTTAAAAAAATTTCAACTAAATACAGCCAATTATACATACATTTTTGATTTTACTATATTATGTATAGGTTTATTTATTATATCAATGAAAAACTCGCATAATCAATTTAAAGAGGTTTTAATTTTGACCCGTACACTTGTTCTTTGGGCTTCTTTCGAAAACTTTTTACAAGCATTTAGCCCGAGTGAGCATTAGTTCCGAATTATGCTGCTACAGCAAAATTAAATTTATGGAAGACATCGTGCTTAAAAGTGAATTTTTCCATAAAAAATAATACTAAGATTACAAGATGTAATTACGAATAAAATAAAACATAGGGAGACTCACTCACAGCCAATTATAGGCAAAGGGGATGTAATATTTGCTAGGGGAAACTATTTGGCACAATCTCTAAAAACCTATATGTCTGGTTACTTTACCTATTTTAGAACAACTTTAAGCCTGGAGGAAAGCCTAACATAAAAACTAAAAACTTACACACACAAATTTTGGTGGTTTTATGGAATATATGCATTTTCTAAACAAATTACAACACACTACATAATTATTGTATAATTCCTTATATGCAATATTTTTCAACATTAAATAGAAACATATTTAACATTCTTCCATCCCATAAGTGTGAGGACCCAAACGGGGTCCGAAAGCAGGCCAATAACGACTTTTTAAAAGAGTCAATTTTCGTAGTGCGAAAGAGCGAACTTAAAGATCGGATTTAAACAATGAACCTTTTGTCTTGTTAAAAGATTTTAAACAATAGATAGAGTAAAGTCGAGGAAAACGAGGTTGGAGAGGAGTCGTGTTCCGACGCGACGTTGAACTCTCCCGCGCCCTTCCTGGAGTTTCGAATTGTCACCATGTGACGAGGAGAGACCAATGGAGAGGCGACCGCGGTGGAAAAATTGATAAAACCGCGTTTTCGGGAACTTTACGGAGTCTTGGGTTTTGGTGCGTAGCGCTACCCTGCTGGGATTTGGTGCTCACGACAGAGACACAACGAAGGCTCTTTCGACGCCCTAGGAGCTGGTTTCGACAACCCGTTCTGTCCAGAATCGCCGAGGTTCAACTCGTTAACCGAGGACATCGCGACAAGTGCTGGTGCGTGCTCCGGGGACATCGTTCTCTGCGTCCGACGTGCGAAACACCCAAGGACCGACCGAACTGTCGAACTTTTCCGTGTTGTTTGGGAACTGTTTTAGTAACCCATCGGTGGATAGGCGTTCGCCTGACTTCTTGAATTGTTGTAAGAACAATTTATGTATATTATTAAACGGTTTTATATGGTAAACCTGTCTCGGTGAGTCATTCCGCGCCCACACGACAGAATTTACCGCTCGGCTGTCGAAAGCACCTCACCCCTAATCGGCTGGCCTCACATAAGGGCAGATAGAATCAAAATCTCAAGGTGTAATTTTTATATAAATAAAATGTCAAGTGGATATGGTATGGACATCAACCCTATTATTCCTATCCGGATCTATCCCAGATATAACAGTATACTATTAGGAACATCTGATACAATGCTATAGATGTTCGATGTCCTTTAATTTTTATGTTCGTGATTTCATTTGCATTAATTTTCATTGAAGTAATATTCGAGATCATTGATAAAATAATGTTAGTAGAAAACAAATTACCACAAATAATCTAGTTAAATATATAAGAAAATACCAAATCGAATAATAATTAAATTATAATACCATCAAATTCCAAGAATATAAATTAACAATTCAACCATATATTTATCATTATTCATTAGCTTCCCAGGAAAATTTTTTAATATAAATATGTAATATCACGTATCTTGCATAACTGCAACAATATTTCTTTTTTTATGACATTTACCGAATACAAACTACATTTAAATAATTTAATATCTCTATCAATGCTGTAATCCTTTATATGCTTGGCTTTAATGTTTATTTAAACTTTGCTTATGATTATATTTCAAATTACACTCACCGCATTCCATTTTATATGACAGACAATCCACTGTACACAAATCTAGTTGCCGCCATAGCAGTATAATTTAGAACTGATGCTTACTCAGGCTAGATGCTTATAAAATAATTTAATAACCTTCAAAAATATTCATGGCACACCAGTTGAAAATTGCTGGTCTAACTAATTCTACTTTGTTTATTTGAATAGTCCAATTTATCATTTTTTAAAATATTTTTTATTATAATACTTTGTCTCTTCTGTGTTAAGTTCTACTTGTCTGTCGTTACTTATCATAGATATGTGATTTAATTATAACATTCAATTATAAAGAAATTTTTCCTTCAATTTTGCAATTTTTAACAAATTGATAAATAATACATGATATACAATCTCTGGCAAAAAGTATTTGAACATGATATAAGAAAATAAGATTGTTTAGTTTGAGCTCATTTAGTTTACAAGAAAATAAAAATGCAGGCCTAATGTTCAAAACAGAAATACACATTTTGGGTAATTGAGTTATTAAGTGTTAATCACTTTAATTTCGAATGAATAAACCAAACCATTTTCCCAAAAAAGAATTTTTACATAAAACAGTATTAGTGAAAAGTTTTTGAACCTACAGGAAGTTGGAAAAAATATTTAAACAACAATAATAATAATAAAAGGATCACATGCAAACTAACAAAGTTAATATTTTGTTGGTCCTCCTCTTGACCTTATTACAGCTTTATGAATCTTGGCAATGTTGAATTGGTGATTTCTTAAGTTATTTTACTCCATTTAATATTAATGGCTCTCTAAGTTCATCTTTATTACTTGGTGCTCTTTCATCAATTGGCATTTTAATAGGGTTTAAATCTGGACTATTTGCAGGTCATGACTTTAAAAATTCTTTATTTTGTTTGGCTCAATGGCATGTGGCATTATCCCCCTGAAAAACAACATCAGCATCACCAAAGTAATCTTCAATTGTTAGAACCAGAAACAATTCTAAAATTTCCTATACACTTCTGCTATTACAATCTCATTAATTACACTTCCTGCCTATGTAGAAAAGCTCAGCTAACAGATTAAGAATACATATATTTCCAAATTCAATAGCTGACATGCAGCCCAAAATCATTAGATTTGGACTGCATGTCAGCTATTGAATCTGGAAATATAACTTGTTGGAAACAATGTTCGTATTAAGACAGTCTTCCTTAAATTTCTCATGTGAACATCTCCAAACAAATTTTACTGCATCATCACCACAACCATTGTATGTATGACTGTCATCTGAAAAAATAACCTTTTCCTAACATCTATGAGCTAATTTTTATTCTGTTTTGACAATTTTAAATTATTGTTTTTTTTATTCTTGGTTAGAAAGGGTTTTGTTTTGTTTTGTAAATGACAGAACAGTAAGAAATAGACAGAATGACAAGGGGTTTTCCCTTGTCATTCAATCTATTTCTTACTATTCTGTCACAAATATTTATGTTATTTTTCTTCCGTTCTCCATTTAATTGTTTGAAAGACATTTTTCAATTTTTTTAAATGATCTTGAGTCTTGATGGTTTTTAGGACAACCACTTTTGCTATGATTTTTTTATGTCTTCTATGTCTTTAAATGTTTTCCAAGTGTAATTTACAGTTCCTAACAATACACCAATACACATTGCAACTTCTCTTTGATTTTTTTTCTATCTTGTAGCAACTTCATAATTTATTTTCTTACATCATTATTAAATTCTTTGAAGCCATTGTGTAATCATTGTGTAAATCAAGACAAATAGTATATCATTGTTTACTTAGAAAATGATGCAAACACACCTCTTAAAGCTAATGGTTTCTTCCATTCAAATTAGAATGCTGAAATCTGTAAATTTAGTACAGTGTTCAAATACATTTTTCCAACTTCCTGTACATTCAATAACTTTTTCAATATTGCTTTATGGGAAAATGGTCTGGTTTATTCATTTGAAATTAAAGTGATTAACAATAACCTCATAAACAAAATGTGTATTTTTGTTTTAAACGTTACATTTTTATTTCCTTGTAAAATGAGTTCAAACTAAATTATTTTATTTTCTTTTATCACATTCAAATACTTTTTGCCAGGGGTTGTATATAACCAAACACACAAAAAATAAAGTGGAAAAAAAATGCTAAAAAATCATATGAACATAACACAAAAGTGACAGTGAGAGATGACTTGGATGCACAACAGATTTCAGAAGTAAAAAATGCACTTGAAGCTTTATCTTGAAGCATAAAGCTTCAAGTGCATTTTTTTACTTCATATTCAGTTTAAGCTTTGGAACATCATTCAAACTCTGAAGTGAATTTTAACAAATTTACCATTTGATATTAGAGTTGTTCAAAGTACTGTACAAGGTACCACTGTATATCAAACTTTGCAAAATTGGAGGGTGTTGTCTCTTTTAGACCTGTTGTGAGTGGAATTCCATCTTCTGTAAAACTCCACCAATTCAGGTTTTTCTGGAAAAAAAAAATCTACCTGGTTTTAAAATCAGTGTTTGTATGGCAAATTTCCTTTCATGGAATTTTAGTATGGTAAAGATTTATTCATAAAATTGATGTAAATACAATCTATATTTGATGTCTTGAATAGTTCTTGATCTCACTTTCAGGAATGGTCATAATGGCACTTTATAATTTTGAAATTTTGTCAAAAAATTTTTTCCATGTAAATTCCTTGCTTTTAAAATTAAAAGGGGTACCTTCTCTTTAAACAAATGTTTCAATTCAAGGAACTTTAAACAACCTACCCTTGCTGACTTCTCTACTTTCATTTTCTGTCATTTTGGTAATTTAGTAACACTTAAGGCTAATGATTGAAACTTGAAAACCCTGATGATCATTTTCCACATTGTTCTTAAACAAGAAAGTTTTGTCTTTGCCTGTATGTGTGTTCTGCCAAACCAGGTGAAAGACTCTGAAATAAAGAGACCAGTTTTATTTTACACAAAAAATTTTTATTGTCTGGGACTGAGTACAATGGCATCAACAGATTGCCCCACCAATCAAAATGTTCTTTTATTAGATGAGGTGGAAAAGGAAAGTGGCCATAATCTTCCACCTGCTAAAACTTATTTGTAGGTAAGTAATCTGGAGGTGGAATCAAAGAAAAAACCTCTGAAGGAATCCAGATGTGGAGCTGATCTAAATCATAAAAAACAAGAAATCATTTTCTGTTCATTATACAAAGAAAAACAGCAACCATACCTACCAAGTCACCAGAATAATGAACTTGACTTTACTAATTCTTATAAAATTCAGTAACTAAACTTGTTTTTTAGTTTTGTTTCCAGATACTCATAACACCAGTGACCTTTCCACTTCTTTTAGTCACATAATCTGGTGACTGAGGTTTATCTTGACCATTTTCCATTTCCCTCCTCCTCTTCAGACTTTTTCTAGGTTCCTAAAAAATGGAGTTTCCTACTAGACTAGAATAGCTTTCTCACTCATAGCCTTCTTGGGCTGTACACAGGAGTGAAATCTGGCTTTCCTTTCAAAGTAGGAAGACTGAGTGGAGACTTCACCTCTATATAAAAGAAATTAGCAACAGTTTATAGAAAAAACTATTGGCCAAAGAAAATTTCCTGAATTGCTTCTTAACATTTCAAAGTGCACTGCATGGACCAGAATTTGCCTTCTTAACAGAATTCCTTCAGATTTTATTTTATTTTTACTTGATTCTCCATCACACTCTTGATTTTTAAGTGGATCCAATTCTGCAAAATACATCCCATTTTTTGAACCACTCCACTAGTTTCCATGCACTAGAATATTCTATTAGGCCATGGTCATTTCAGGAACTACCAAAATTTTAGGCAGACATTAAGTGGAAGTGCAAATCCACCTGAAACTATCCACCTGTAGACTATGTTCTGCTTGAAAAAAATTTGGAATTAGAATAGAAAATCAGCTAGTTCAACACTCAACTTTTCTGTTTCTGTGCAAAAATCAGATAAGATCATCAAGTGGAAATGAAACAGGTAAAAAGACAAGATATGTCAGTGAAATAAATACATGTCCATCCACTCTCAACTGCTTTAAAGTCAATAAGAACATTATCTTTCAAGAAACAAACTTTCCAGCTCTCAAAAACCAAACTTTTTAGTTATGGTTGAATTTTCCTTGCATGCCCAACCCAAAATTAGAAGCTGGAAACAATAAAATAAGTCCAGAGTATGACTACATTCCATTTTGTTGATCATCAATTTGCTTCACAATCAAAAATTATTTTCTTTCAAGTCAGAAATAGAGGTGGAACATGTTGGAAATGGTGTGTGGTGGAAACAGCCAAAGCTGAAGACCCAGAGGAAAACAGTGAACAAAATAATTTGGAATAAAATTTGGTGTTGGAATGCTGAGATCAACTTTGGTTTTTATGAAATACTGATAAAATAATTTAAACCTGAGGGAATTCTGTCATTATGATCAGTTTACAAAATGCCTAAGTGTCATTTCACAATGCTTATTTCTACCAGAAGTCTTAGAAATCAGCTGATGGAAAGGAAGATCTTCACCAATTCCATATTAATATAATTAAGATGGCAAAAACTAGATGCGCAGAACCTTGATCTTCTGGCTACTTTCCACCTAAACAGCACAGCCCAGATCTGCTATAAAAGACCATCAAGAAGAAGGAAGATGGTCAAGTGTCCTGATGATTGCCCAACAACTGCTGAGTTCTAAGTTGCCAGTACTGAAGCTGGGCTCCATACACCTTCATGACTGCAGCATGTTCAGTTCGTGCCATGTCCATCTTCATCTGTAGCAGCTTCATCTTGCTGGTGTGCTCCTGACGTCTCAGACAGTCCCACTCCTCCGGGGAGGCATTTTCATTCCTATTGTCAGAGGGAGAATGGTTAGGCATCCCATCGGTGTCCAGAGAGTCACCCTCTTCTCTCTTCCCATTGACTGGCACAGAATAGGGCACATTGTAGACAATCCCTGATGAGTCGGATGAATAGGAGGGCATCTCAGCTGAGGGTGAAGGAGATAATTCCTCACGAGTGTTGCCAGAAGTCTCTAGAATAAAAGGAATTTCCCTTTATTTTTGTCCTCTTTCTTCACGCCCAGCTGATGGGTGTTTACAGCTGAGAATGCATGGTCTGGAGTAAACCACATATTATCAGAGGGATTTCTTCCCCTATCTTAAAACCAAAAAATGAGAAAAACAAAATCTGTAGATCTTAGAAATGGGATCTGGATGGAATGTGTTAGCTCCTTTTCTGTGAGCAGAATAGAAAAGGTTGGAGAAAGTTATTCTAAATTACTGGTAGCTAATTCAAACCAAACAATCTTTCAAATTATTGGACAATTATATAGCTAAGTCTGGAAGCAAAGATTGAACAGAGATCTGGCCAGTGTGAATAAAAATGCATCTGCACAATTTAACATTTGAATGCTAAATGTTCGAATTTAAATATTTTATATATTTAAATTTGAATGGTTAGCATTCTAATTATAACGAACATTTTTTGACCTGACACAGATCCTAAGGGGATTGAAAACGTTTGTCGTAACATATTTAAATTAAATTATATTTGCTGGTATAGTTCAAAGGTTTTAGTGGTGTTATTTAATAGAATTAGAATTATTAAAATTAACACAAGATGGCAGCATAACTATCTACTTCTGGACAATTTAATTAGTTTCTAATCATTAACTTAATCATATAATTAGGATTGTCAAATACTTGGGGATAAAATCAGGGACAAAATGAGTTCTTCCTGAAAGATACTGGGACACTTCAATTCCAAGACAGGTAAGATGTGTATTTTTACTCTGCCAGTGACAGAAATACATTTAAAATGTGGAAAAAGAAAAAGAAACTTTATTCTAGGAACAATATTTAGAATAAAATTCTCCTGTCACTAGACGGCAATTGGAAAAATCTGGGATATCTGACAATCCTAAATAGTCTGATAATTTGGCAGATCTTTTGGTTTGAATTAACTATAGAAATCTGTTTCATATGAAGAATAAGGAATTGAATCCTTTGGATATATTACTTGCTCAATGAAATACTATACCTAAAAATATAGGATTATTTAGTGAAAAAAGCATAAGAATACAGAAAACCTATAATTTAGAAATATAAAAATTGGGTTTAGAGATGTTGATATATCCCTAGTAATTAATGACTGGTATGATATAGTCAGTATTATCTGAAAAATAATTAATATTATCCAATAATTTGATTATGTAAGAGCATTTTTCTCTCCAAATTTCACAGAAAAATATTTGTTAGATACAGATGATTGGCTTAAAATTACAGTTAGAGTGGCATTCCCCAATCTACCCAACGGTGGCAATCTTGTAGAAAACAAAACATCTTATCTAACTATCAAAACTTACAAATTTTTGTTTGTCAAAGGACAGGCAGCAAAACATAAATGCCCTAGTTATTGTTAAACCAAGTTTAAAATTTGCATGTTCTGTTTAACCAATTCATTTTAATAACTAAAGCCTGTTTCACAATTGTTCAGTAAGCTAAATCTACTTCATTTTGAATGACAATTTCAGTGGAATCATCTGAGCTATTTTTACTGTCTAATTTTTTTTTGCAATCCACTGATGGATTTCTTACACCCTAAACCACTGATAATCAATGAACAGACATCTACACTGGTTTCCAAAATTTAAGGAAAAATCACAAAAATTGCAATACTGTAACTCAAAAAAGTTACACTCTGATTGTAATGAAGCTGAGAAAAAGTATACAACACATAGTAAGGTGTAAAATAACATGAAAAAAATTACAGGACAATTATGATGTTATAGTAATTAGCACATATAGGAAAAGTATCTTCAATATGGAGTGTAATCACCCGGAGCATTAGGCAATAATTTAATCCTACAAGATGATAACGCAAGACTACACGAGCTGTGTGGTCTTGCATTATCATCTTGTAGGATTAAATTATTGCCTAATGCACTAGCATAAGGACACAAGCATCAAGGATATCATCTCTATACACATGAGCAGTCACAGTCACAGTTCCACATGGAGAAACATGGAGGTCTGTGTGTCCACCCAAAGAGATACCATCCCAAACATAGACCCTGCTCCTCTGTATGAATCTCTTTCATGGATGTTTGATGGATGATAACATGTTCCAGGTTCTCTCCAAATCAAAAAAATGTCTGCTATCTCTTTGCAAGCAAAACCTGGATTCATCCATGAAGATGAGTCCCATTGATCTACAGTCTAGTGAACATATCGACATGCACACATTAAATGCTCCCTTCTGTAATGAGGTTAGCAACACACAGATGGCTGGTTGCCACACATACAGACCATCTTCATGAAGCCTTCTGCACACAATAGATGTGACACCCTCCTTCTGGTGGCTGTAGCAAGAAAGACCTAAGTTGGGTTGGGTTTAAGGTTGACATTCTACTCCATGTGCATAACTGCAAATATTGTTCATGGGGACTCAATGTAGCTCTTGGCTGTCCTTGGCTGAACCTTCTGGATGCCGAATCTGTGGTCTGAAAAAGCCTATGAACCACAGGAGGACTCACATTTAACCATCTGGCCACCTCTGTCTGGTTTGACCTCCCAATGACCCTCCATTGCAGTTCTTCTGGCAAATGATGCCTCAAAGTCATTGTAAGGAATTGTCTATCCCAATCCCAGATTTCTTATGTCACTATCACAGTGAAACCTAGTCTTACTATTAAACATGCATTCTAAACAATCATTCATCATACTGATGTGAGAATTAAGAACATAACCACAAAACTACCAACATACCAGCATAAATTCATTTCAAAAACGAACGTTTTCTACCGTCTTCAACGGTCATCATCAGGTTTGAATCCAAGATTTCAAAAAATCGAACATTGCAGTTATGTGCATAACTGCAATGTTCGATTTTTTGAAATCTTGGATTCAAACCTGATGATGACCGTTGAAGACGGTAGAAAACGTTCGTTTTTGAAATGAATTTATGCTGGTATGTTGGTAGTTTTGTGGTTATGTTCTTAAACATGCATTTTTATGCTACTTGCAGGTGATGCATTCCAATTACAGCACCACTATTTTGCATATTGTAATTTTGTTCAGCATCTTTTATTTAACAACGTACTTAAATTTCACAGTGATTGTTTTATTTTTGAACAAATTTTTTGCTATTTTTGTGAATTTTCCTTAACTTTTGGAAACCAGTGTATATGTTATAGACTTAAGTGATTATGAATAATTGACAAACAAAATTGGGCACTGTAATAAATTTCAGGTTTTTTATCATAATTTGTCAGAGTGACCATTCACTATGAATACTGCTATCACCTGGTTGGAAAAAGTGAAAATAATACTTTAAGGAATGATCATTCGACATGTGCTAGCCAATCAGCACTTGTGTCTGAGTTGCGCATGACTACTGTGTTTATTATCAAATTTTAAATTCATGTGGCCAATAGGTAAAACTTGTGCAACATTTTAATTTTATTTTTGTCTCTTAAAATAGTGTTTTTTTCTTTGAAAAATAATGATCATGCAGCAACCATTAAGTGATTTGAATAACCTCTTCAAAAATTAAATGAGTTAATATCAGAAAAGGTCAGAAAAATCAAATTTTTACAAAATCAGCATATTTGACAATGATACAAAAAGTGAAAGTGAAAAATCAATGTTACTTTGAAGTTACCAGAACAATATCAGTGTTTACACAGATATGACATTGTATCTATCGAAGATATAGAAAAACAAATAGTGCTTGTACCAATAATAAAAAGATATTTGATTAAATATTACATTCACACTGAAGAAATGTTTCAGATATTGCACGATGCCCATACTGCTATTGGCCATGGTGGCAGAAACTGTATAGAAAAAGTATTAAGTACGAAATATAAAAATATTACAAGGGAGATGATCATAATTTACTTGAACTTATGTTCCTAAGAAAGGCTTGGTAGTTAAACCAAAGTAATGAAATGAACTCAAGATATCAGGTTGACCTTATAGATATGCAGTTGCAAGCCAGTGAGCAATATAAATTTATACCCAAGTACCAAGACCACCTGACTAAATTCGTTCAACTAATATAGGCTAAAGATGTAGCCTATATTTTTTTAGATACTTTAAAATTTTCTGTGCACCAAACATTCTATATAGCAATAACAGCAGAGAATTTGCCAATAATGTCATCAAAAAACTGTGTAGTATATGGCCCAGGTTAAATGTTGCATGGAAAGCCCAAGCACTCACAAAGTCAGGATTCAGTAGAAAGTTGTACTCAAGACTTAGAGAATATGCTTAGTTCTTGGTTGAAGACTAATAACACTAACAAATGGTCAGAAGGATTACATTTTGTACAACTGATGAAAAATCAAGCACATCATACTGGTATAAACTGCAGTCCCCATGAAGACATGTTTCAAGCAAAGATAACAGTTGGACTGAAGAATTTTATACTTGACAGACTATTGACCAATGTTAATACAGAGGAAGATTTACAGAATCTTTTTAAAACTGACAACGATGAAGAAAGTCAAAGCTGTGCAAACTCTGGAGGATCAGATGCTGTTCAAGATAACATTATAAAAGATTTTTTGATAATGTCACCTTCATATTGCAATATAACTGATGAAGTTTAAAGATCTACATTGTCTTCGTATGAGAAAGATCTAACCTATGCTGATCTCCAAAAACCACAATGTTATTAGTACTACAGAGTTGGTGAATGACAAAAAAAAGAAATCCAAACAGTTGATCCAAAAATAAGTTTTGTCCAAAACAAGGGAAATGACTGACTATTCTTAAAAAGTAAGCAGAAAAAATTATTGATACATCAAATTCCAAATATCCAGCAGCTAATGTTTGTGACAGAGTAAGAATTCATGCACCAGAGATAGATTGAGTCCGCAATGATGAAAAAAATATTTTACAAGTTGTTGTTGAGGTTGAAGATAAAAACCTTTACAAACTGGGACCAAACATGGCATATTGAACCTATATTCCAGAAACCAATTTACTAATTGTAAAGAAAACTTCATTTCTGCTAAAGATATACAAG